TCCAGGTTCTGACTAAGTTGAACACAAAGCTAATTGGTACCCAGGTGCAAAAATTACACAAAACAACAACATTTTCTTGTCATCGAAGATGTTTAATAATGAGTACTTTCACATTTCTAAGATACTGTTGTCCTCTTGCAAAAAGGGACTTGTCCATTTTTTGTTTGGTTGGGTTTCTTTGTTTATAAAGTTGTATGCTGATAGGGAATTGTCTGAACCAGTTAGAACAAAGGTAAATCACGGTGTCCTTGCCTTGAAAGGAAATTAAATGAGATGATGCTGACAGAAAGAATGCACAGAAAAGTCCATGGTGAGTGCTCAGTGCTCAGAGTAAAGGAAGAGTAGTTAGAAACTGAAGTAGATTCTAACGTTTTAAGGTAGCAGCAATTAAGAGTAAGTAGACACTTTAAAAAATTAGACAAAAAGGAGTTGGAAGTATGAAAAAACATCACCTCTAAGGAGCAGGTGGTTTGACTGGTAGATGGAGATCAAGGTAGCCAAGGTTTAGCAGGGAATCAGAGGATGCATCAAACTTGCTCCATAAAAGAGGTCAGAAATGGGAAATAAGTTTATGTACATGAATGCCAGAAGTTCTCATTTACCCCCACTCGAATGAACAGTCCCATGGACACAGGGACAGCTCTGCTCTGGAGGCATTTCTCCTAATTCTGGCACAACTGGAAGACCCCTTTAGGTCCAGAAGCAGAATCACTGTTTTCTAGCACTGCAGAACAGGAGTGCATAAATTTTATTGGATTATACATAGGAGCATCTCTGCTCCTTGTTTTTTCAGTGGTCTATGCTCCTGCTCCACCTTTTCCATGGCCTTTTAGATGGGTTTTTCAGCATATCTTAAGTGCAGGGGAGCAAATCAGGTCTGCTGTTAATACCTCAATGAAGTGGGTAGGGGAGAAGTGGAGGCTTGGTGAGGAAGTAATGCAAGGTGTTACAAGGAATTGGGAGCAGACCGGCAATATCAAAAATTTAAAATGAATTAGCGAGGCAGCAAATGCTTTAAACACAAGCAAACACCGATGTGAAAAGCAACAATCAATAAAATATTTTCTTAAAACCTTGAGGTCAAGGTTTAGGTGAAAAAACCTGTAACTCCAGGAATTAACAGGTCCAGGTAAGGAGTTTGTTCAAATCTTTTCATGTGTGTATTACAACTCTGCAGGCTGACTAAAGATGACTCATTTGGAAGGTCAGAATCTGAAAAACATTGGTTAATGTGTTTAAGTCAGGCTTTATTGTGAAGAATTTAGACGAACACCTTAAAAATTATCAGTTACATTGGGAAGCCAGAATGTGGTAACCACAGTTACCTATCCTCAGACATGTTTTAAAGTGTCAAACATAAAAATCTGAAAGTATGTGATTTTTCAACAACCTGAAAATGAGATTGTATTTATTTTACAATTTAATTTTTATTTCTAAGTATAAAACTAAGTGTGGGTTGCCCATAATTTAATATGAAATGGTTGTAATAAGACAAACTGTGTATTCTTGTGCAATTTAAGAATAATTTTCCATGCAACTACTGACCTGTTTGAATTCTGAAATTCCAGGCATTTGAAGATATTCACCTGCAGAATAGAAAAACAGTGAAAATGATCCTAGATTATGCTGACAAAGTATTTACCTACATCTTTTTGATGGAGATGCTTCTGAAATGGGTAGCTTATGGATTGCAGAGTTACTTCACAAATTCCTGGTGTTTGCTTGACTTTGTCATTGTATGTGTAAGTATTATATTCAGCTTGTCATACATTTTGATTTTTGACATTTTCTATCTGGATAACTACATGTAACTTCTGATTAT